AGCGCAAACAGAAAAAAGCGCACACAGAAAAAAGCGTAAACGGAAAAAAGCGCAAACAGAAACAGAAAAATGCGCAACCAGAAAAAACACAACGAAAAATGTGCAAAAGAGAAATTTAGCACAAAGACCATATGGACTAGATGACACATTTATACATGACTGTTAGGGCTGCTGTGAAAAACTCACTTCGAACTAACTCAATTACATGCTATTTATTTTATATATATAAAGTATGAGGGGGTGGATATCAAAGTTTAAGGGGGGGGGGGTACAATCGAAAGTTTGAGCGGGGAAAAAGTCTGGAAGAAACACTGCATGTAGCCTGATGTTATTATAAAACTTCATCTCTCTTTGTTTCTTTATAAAAAGGTTATGGAAGGTTTTTAAGGTATTTTACTGAAATGTTTACCGGACGAATGCAAAATGATATAAACAACCATAGCTTTTCTGTTATATAGGCTACATGCAGTGTTTCTTCCAGACTTCCCCCCCCCCTCAAACTGTCGATTGTACCCCCCCCCCCTCAAACTTTCGATTTGCATATATATATATATATATATATATATATATATATATATATATATATATATATATACATATATATATATATATATATATATATATATATATATATATATATATATATATATATATATATATATATATATACATATATATATATATATATATATATATATATATATATATATATATATATATATATATATATATATATATATATACATATATATATATATATATATATATATATATATATATATATATATATATATATATATATATATATATATATATATATATATATATATATATATATATATATATATATATATATATATATATATATATATATATATACCGAGGGGTCTATGGGGGGGGGGGGGGTTATGACCCCCCATAAACCCCCCCCTGCCTACGCCACTGCATATAAGTATTCGCATTGATTTAGAGTAGCGTCCCTTTTGTTTACATGTTTTCATTACCCTTCAAACAAAAGTCTATTTTAGTTCTATTGAGATTATTAAAGAATGTAAATAAATAGTATACACAATTCTGTAGAATAGGAACGATTGGGAGGGAAGTGACATTTAGCGCAGTAAATTTAGAGGTTAGGTTGGGTATAATAAATGGTGGGGTTAGGAAAGTTAAGGGGTCCATTTTCTAATAGGCAATCTATGTCTCTTTCGTACTTTCGTGTTGGTTTATTGTCGAACCTGTCCTCACCTCACATCACAACAGTTGGGTGACGCTTTCCGTGTAATGTTAAAATAAATAGCATGTAATTGAGTTAGTTCGAAGTGAGTTTTCATACAAGCCCAACGCACTAATTAAGGTTGTCGCAAAATGTAACATATATGTAACATATGTCAATGATGTCAATGAATTTTCATTAAAAAAAAGATGTCTAGTACAGTTTACGAAACTTACGAACTTCGCCGATACTTTTTTGGTGAGTAGTTTGGTAAGTATGTAGGCGGGTAGGTGGGTAAGTGGGTAGGTGGGTAGTTAGGTAGGTAGGTAGGTAGGTGGGTAGGTGGGTAGTAGGTAGGTAGGTAGGTGCGTCATGATGTGAAAAAATATTAAATACAAAATTGTTATTTTGGTGCGAATGAATGTTGTTACGAGAGATATGCATGTTTGATGACGCGGATGAAAGAGAGTGAAGTTTTGCCATAGGAACGGGTTGTTATAGTATGCAAGCGAGGTAGTTCGGACTAGGGAGAATGTGAAAGATACTTCGTGTAATGTCGATAGTTGTATGTTTATACGAGAATAGTAGTTGAATAATTATTGACCAAGAAAATAATAGGCATTGTGTAAAGTGATTATCGCCTGTATCGTGGTGATGGGAATGCAGATGGTAGTGGTACGCTTTAAATGGTAGTAGATCACGTGATCAAACACGACACTCTCACAGCAGCCCTAACAGTCATGTATAAATGTGTCATCTAGTCCATATGGTCTTTGTGCTAAATTTCTCTTTTGCACATTTTTCGTTGTGTTTTTTCTGGTTGCGCATTTTTCTGTTTCTGTTTGCGCTTTTTTCCGTTTGCGCTTTTTTCTGTGTGCGCTTTTTTCTGTTTGCGCTTTTTTCCGTTTGCGCTTTTTCTGTTTGCGCTTTTTTCTGTGCGCGCTTTTTTCTGTGTGCGCTTTTTTCTGTTTGCGCTTTTTTCCGTTTGCGCTTTTTTCCGTTTGCGCTTTTTTTCCGTGTGCGCTTTTTTCTGTGTGCGCTTTTTTCCGTTTGCGCTTTTTTCTCTTTGCACTTTTTTCCGTTTGCGCTTTTTTCTGTTTGCGCTTTTTTCTGTGTGCGCTTTTTTCTCTTTGCGCTTTTTTTCTGTTTGCGCTTTTTTCTCTTTGCGCTTTTTTCCGTGTGCGCTTTTTTCTCTTTGCGCTTTTTTCCGTTTGCGCTTTTTTCTGTTTGCGCTTTTTTCTGTGTGCTCTTTTTTCTCTTTGCGCTTTTTTCCGTTTGCGCTTTTTTCTCTTTGCGCTTTTTTCTGTGTGCGCTTTTTCTCTTTGCGCTTTTTTCCGTGTGCGCTTATTTCCGTTGCGCTTTTTGATTTGCGCTTTTTTCCGTTGCGCTTTTTTCCGTTGCGATTCTTTCCGGCCACCGTCCGCGACATACCGATTTTGCCTTATCATAAATTATGCTCATAGGTACATTTATCCTACTGCAGCTGATCGTTATGTATTGGGTACATCCATATGGTTATATCGGTAGTAATGTTCAAGTTGTCAATTCAAAATAGATGATGTCACAACTCTCTTTATTTTTTAATTTTTTTTTGAGAATTCAGCCTATTTACATTGATTATTATTACTAAATATGTGGTCCGTTTTTACTACAAAATACGAATAGCTTTATTTTATTTTTTATGTATATGTTACGGTCAAAGCCCGAAGTCGGCCAATGCTAGGATTGGCCGGCCAATCCGCGCATTGGCCAATATCGCCTCCCATAGGTCGGTCAAAGTCCGAAACTTTGCTTGATTTCGGCATTTGGCCGGCCAATCACCGGACTGGCCATGGTGGACCGGCCAAAGTCTTAATTAGAAGATCATCTGGCTAGGGACGACCGGCCAAAGTCCGGATTAGAAGATCATGAGCAGATTTTGGTTTTTTTTAAAATGCCGTTAGGATTATGAAATTAAGTCTTTATTGATTATTAATTAAAGTAAATGACAGAAATATTCAAATTTTTTTAGTGTACTATAGTCTCAATCTATCAATATCATAATTTGTTACAACAAGTTGAACTTTTATGGCATTTAGAATTACATAGCAGCTTGTTATTTTTACACTTGAAGCGATTTGTTGTGCACTTAGTTGTGCAATTGCAGCGAGTGTAGCCTTGGCCCCCAGTCAATGATTGTGAAGATGCGATGGTTCGTAGAGATTTTTCCTCAGTGCCAAATGACGACTTTATGAGCAGTTTTTCGTGAAGAATTGAAAACTCACTTCTAGAATATATTTGTTTTAGAACACCACGTTCCGTTCCTAGCTTGTAGAAAGCGATGTCGACGTTCATGTCAACTGCAATCAAGCTTCGGGGATCACCGTGACCTCTGTCAACATCTGGAAAACGGATGCGTACATTGTCACCCACTTCACCATCTTTAAATTTTGTTTTTGATGTTTTAAGCATCTTAGCACCTTGAGTTTGCAAGCCAGTATGAGCTGCTGATCTGTGCTCCATGATGTCTTGTTTGTTGTGACACAATCTGCAGGTAATGTTCCCTCCGTACCCTTCGTCTGCTTCATTGGGTATTCCACAAATAGCATGGACATCGTTGCCACAGGATCCACAAGAATGGGTTCCCAGAAAGAAGCGCAACGGGAAAAAGCGCAAAGAGAACAAAGCGCACTCGGAAAAAAAGCGCAAAGAGAAAAAAGCGCAAAGAGAAAAAAGCGCAAAAAGAAAAAAGCGCACACAGAAAAAAGCGCAAACAGAAAAAAGCACAAACGGAAAAAAGCGCAAACAGAAAAAAGCGCAAACGGAAAAAAGCGCAAACAGAAAAAAAGCGCAAACGGAAAAAAGCGCAAACAGAAAAAAGCGCAAACGGAAAAAAGCGCAAACAGAAAAAAGCGCAAACAGAAAAAAGCGCAAACAGAAAAAAGCGCAAACGAAAAAAAGCGCAAACAGAAAAAAGCGCAACCAGAAAAAACAACGAAAAATGTGCAAAAGAGAAATTTAGTACAAATACCTATATCGACTAGATGACACATTTATACATGACAGTTAGGGCTGCTGTAAAAGTGTCGTGTTTGATCACGTGATCTACTACCATTTAAAGCGTACCACTACCGTGTGCATTCCCCTCACCACGATACAGGCGATAATCGCTTTACACAATGCCTATTATTTTCTTGGTCAATAATTATTCAACTACTATTTTCGTATAAATAAAAATAATACTATCCTTGATATCGACATTACACGAAGTATCTCTCACATTCTCCCTAGTCCGAACTACCTAGCTTGCATACCATAACTTGCATATAGAATGCTATACAAACAAGAGCTAAACAATACGTTAATCTCAATGAAAACGCACCCAGAATAATGAAAATGCGATCACAAATTAGTCTAGATAGAACATTGGCCAGGACATCCCGGCCAGTGCGCGCATTGGCCGGCCAATGTACAAAATACGCTGTCAAGTTTAAGCGCTTCGGACTTTGGCCAGTACGTCCCGGCCAGTGCGCGCATTGGCCGGCAATTGTACGAAATACGATCTTAGTGCTGTTCTTCGGGCTTTGGCCAAGAGAGCCGGCCAATCCGCGGATTGGCCGGCCAATCCACGCTTTGGCAGCACTTCGGGCTTTGACCGTAACATATATCAAGTCTAAATTCAAATATGGAAATAATTTAGGAAGTTAACTTCTGATTACGGTTTGTCGCGTTTTCGCGAAATCAGGCAACATTTTAGCCTTGAAATAGCATTGTAAGGAGAACATAAATAGAAAACAGGATGTTGGGATGGGAACACTCATGGATACCACCAAAGAAAGGTCTTAACGGTGACCTTGACAATTATAACTCTAAGCATAGACGTAATAAAATTCAGTAAGTTTGGACATTGACAAAAATACTCATTATACTGCTATATAGTACAGACAGAAGTGTTATTGAGCACCCAAATCTTCAGCACTGAATACCAACATCAGTGACACTGAGCACCCACAGCAGTGATGCTGAATACCCACTTCTAAGACTGAGTATCAACTTCAATGTTATCGATTACCCACACCTTCAACTATTTACGCATTGAGTTACCATAGCAGTAGCACTCTCATTTGTTTCCGTAGCAGTATCATTCGAGTACAACAGCAGTAGCACGAAATACCAACATCAGAATTGGGTACCATCAACAATGACAGTGAGTACCACACAAAAGGCACCCAGCAGCTGAATTGAGCATGGACGAACATACAACGGCTTAACTGTCATTATTTGACACTTCTTGTTCACGTGCTTTGTGTGTATGAAATGAGAAGTATTAGTCTTTATCAGTTGACCTTGAAAGGAAATTTTACGAAAAGGGCGAAACCAGGGATAACAATACATATTTAAGGAAGTCCCTTTATATGTATTGTGTTACTGTAGTGCAACCACGGCAGTAATGTTACAAAATGGATCAAACAATTTTATTTTATTTTTAATTTTTTAAAATTTTATTTTATAGGTCCGGGTTATTTTATTATTTTTACCGACACGTGTTCTCTAAATATCCACGCACAAAGAATAGAAAATCACAAACTAAACATATAGACAAGGAGATGAAGACTCATTTGTAAAATTAATTAAAACTATAGTTTTAGTATTATAGTATTATATAACTCTCCTGCATATGCTCGCTCTCTAAATGAAGTTATGAAGTTATACTCCACTCTGCCTGATGTCACAAATTCACGACATACCGTAATTAGCATGCATACCTCAAATTCATAGTCAGTATGATGAGAGAAAATCTCGCTTGGAACATAATTCAGGCATTAAGGGGATAACGTATTGCTTCTAAAATGTTAAAATCTCGGAGCAAATTTAATCATACTTCACTAGAAGGTGAAAGACGATGTAGTACGATGAAAAATACGTTGCATTTTTTTTTTGTTTTACACAATTGTTCTGTTTCTATTTCAAATATCTAAAAGAAACGAAGCTCGTTATACTTGTATAAAGGGACTAAATTGTCCAGCTGGATTTCATATGAATGTAAGAGGTGATTTAAAGACATGCGAAGGTATGTTACGACTTTTCTGATATGTTATGTTATGTTACATTACGTTACTTTACGTAACGTTAGGTTATGTTAGGTTACGATACGATACTTTACGTTGTGTTGTGTTGTGTTATGTTATGTTATGTTATGTTATGTTATGTTATGTTATGTTATGTTATGTTATGTTATGTTATGTTATGTTATGTTATGTTATGTTATGTTATGTTATGTTATGTTATGTTATGTTATGTTATGTTATGTTATGTTATGTTATGTTATGTTATGTTATGCTATGCTATGCTATGTTATGCTATGCTATGCTATGTTATGTTATGTTATGTTATGTTATGCTATGCTATGCTATGCTATGCTATGCTATGCTATGCTATGCTATGCTATGCTATGCTATGCTATGCTATGCTATGCTATGCTATGCTATGCTATGCTATGCTATGCTATGCTATGCTATGCCATGCTATGCCGTGCTGTGCCGTGCTGTGCCGTGCTATGCTATGCTATGCTATGCTATGCTATGTGCTATGCTATGCTATGCTATGCTATGCTATGCTATGCTATGCTATGCTATGCTATGCTATGCTATGCTATGCTATGCTATGCTATGCTATGCTATGCTATGCTATGCTATGCTATGCTATGCTATGCTATGCTATGCTATGCTATGCTATGCTATGCTATGCTATGCTATGCTATGCTATGCTATGCTATGCTATGCTATGCTATGCTATGCTATGCTATGCTATGCTCTGCTATGCTCTGCTATGCTATGCTATGCTATGCTATGCTATGCTATGCTATGCTATGCTATGCTATGCTATGCTATGCTATGCTATGCTATGCTATGCTATGCTATGCTATGCTATGCTATGCTATGCTATGCTATGCTATGCTATGCTATGCTATGCTATGCTATGCTATGTTATGTTATGTTATGTTATGTTATGTTATGTTTTTTCTGGAGCCTAAATAACGGAATCCTATTTGTTTGTCGTCTATTTTACCGTTTTGTCGCTGGCAGTTATGATTGTATGTATGAGTGTGAGTATGTATGATTATGTGTATGTAATTCTGAATATGCTCGTGGTTCATTAGCAACTATGTATGACTGGCTGTATGGCTGGGTGGCTGACATTAAATGTTTAATTTAATTATTTTTTTTATCACAGCCAGTGCAACTACATGATTTGAATAACACTACGGTATTTGCAGTTATAAAAAATATAACAACTTAAATTTTTACATAACTCGTTTTTTGTTTTTAATTTTCAATTTTGTTTTGTCATACAAATTAAAAAAAAAACTTTTCCAAAAAGAATAAGCGTATTCTTATCAACGAATATGCAAATCTCATCACATGCTACAGTTCAATTGTTTCAGAGATCTCCGCATATGAATGGATAGTATTTCCTGATCTTAAGTAATCATTAGTTCATTAGAAAACTCAGGGACGTCGAATTCTGGGATTTACCCTTAACCACTCAATAACACCGTAAAAAGCTCGAATTCATATAAAAAATTTAAATATCGTCCTACACCAGTAGTCGGCAACCTGCGGCACGCGAGCCGCATGCGGCTCTTTTGATGTCAAGGTGCGGCTCTCCAGCTCCTTGCACAAATATTGTTATATTATTTCATTTTCGCAGAAAATATTATACTGTAAATAAACTCAACTTTAAACAGGATAAAAAAAACCCTTCAGTGAACAGTGAGAATAGATGCAGTAGAAAGTATACGGACAGCTGAGAGTCACTTGGATATCAGGACGTCCCACAATCGTGTTGCGGCCAGCTCCGTAACGTAGTGTTTTAGTTATTAGCTTCCCACTGGACGGTGGGGTTCGAGTTTACCATGCGTTCAGTGGGGTGGTAGATAAGCCTTGTGAGAATCAAAAGGACAGAAGCGGCCAATGCACGATAATCAAACCAAGACAGTCGGTGTTTGTCGTGTTGAGGCCACCTGACTAATGGGAGACACCTCCTGAACCGGGAATATCGGTCAAGAAAGAAAAAAAAAGTTAACAGCTTCAATAGTGGATTGGGAGAGTCCTGTAGATTATTTGATTAATAAGGTTATTATTCTAGCAAAACATGTGTAGGTTTTTATATGAACAAATATTATTTCATATTAAAGGGTACTTATTTTAAATTACAAATACAATTATTTACCTAATCAAAATCAAATAGTAAATATTGAAAGAAAATTCTAGTGTCTCTTTAAAAACTGGGAAATTTTGAAAATTCTTCCATCTCAAAAGGTTGCCCCTGTCCTACACCATTTTAAGATATTCATTTTAAAAAAATTAACGTGAAAATTTGACCTTTTTACACGACCTCATAATAATGAAATTAAAATTAGCCACACTTTTAGGTAGCCACATGGAGGGGGGGGGGGGGCCGGGTAAATGGTGTTCTAGACGTTTTAGACGCTTCTGAAATGTAAATATGTTCAGGAACTCTTATGATTACGGTTGTGGCTAAAAAATATTGAAACAGAATGCGATATTTATATAAAATGTAAAATTTTGAAACTTGTCATCACATTTACAAAAATTAACAAAAAAATCAATTCACTTATTAATTATCTATGTAATTAGGTTCTGAATGAAATTTGTTCATTTCATATTGCTTTTGGTACATTTAAAGCATATGTCGAAGGAAATGTTTCATACATTTTTAATGGTAATGTAGGGCATTTTTTCCAAAAAAAATAAAAATAAAATAAAAAATAAAAAAACAGGAACAAACAATACAATTGATTTAATAACATGGCAATCATTTTTCTTTTGTAATTTTCACAAATAAACACAAAACACAAGTATATTTTCTATCGGATCCAAATGTGCTATTACAATGAGCCAAATAAAATAATATTTTGAAAACGAAAGCTTAGTCATTCATTTCACTACTACTAGATTCTAGTAGTGAAATGAATGACTCGTATAATTGTAGCCTACTAGAATGTAATGACAAATCTGCGCTACTTTGTAAAGTTCATAAAATGTGTTTAGGTTAGTAGTAGTTGCCTACTGTTTTATGTTTACTGATTAAAATTCACCACAGAGATCTATATTATATGAAGAAGTGGACAATTACTAATCTAGTCTAGAGGTATACATTACGTACATGCTAGTTATTGTCGATAGTTTTTTTTACAGTAAATATAAGTAACAAATCTTACTTTAATAACTACTTTGGTATTATATACTAAACCTAGTAAACGAGCCTACAAGTGCTGCTTTATTCTTGTTATTCTTTTACTACTAGAAATATGCATTTAATTACATATGCATCTCTGTTTGAGTACATTTCGATAGTTAGTTAACAAAATAATATTTATCGAAAAATTTACAAGGAATCATTAAAAAATGACCGTGTGCCCTGCCCTGATGGTACTTACAAGTACTTATATATATATATATATATATATATATATATATATATATATATATATATATATATATATATATATATATATATATATATATATATATATATATATATATATATATATATATATATATATATATATATATATATATATATATATATATATATATATATATATATATATATATATATATAGGGTAAGCCGGGGTAATTCCACACACTTTATACTGAATACTCTCTATTTTTAGTGGGAGTAAAGTTTAATTAAAAGTTTCTATTCCCTGTTTTTAGAGGTAATTTCTTGTACTTTTTGATACTGTTAAAGAAGCATTCATCTACAATCAGAGCAATAATTTTAATTATATTTGCATCTATCTTCAAACATCCTACCGTAAGTACAACTCCTGCACTTTTTAAAAAAAATAATTCATTTTGTCTTATTTTTAATTGTTGTCAATTATTTATTGATTTTATGAAAGCTTAATCATTTTTGTTAATAGTAACAGTTAATGATGCTAGATTCAGCCTTTAATTTAGAACAGGAAAGCATATTTTTTCAATAGGATGTGTGGGCTATTCCACACATGGTATGGGGCAATTCCATACACTATAGTTTGCTTTTTATACTCTTAAGAGGGTTTTGCTATTATTTTAAACCATTTAAAATGGTTGTGGCTAATTCTGTAATTCACAACTCATGATTTAATCTAAAAAATAATTAAATAGTACTACATCTTGGACTATTTTTTTTAAAAAGACTGCTATTAAAGTTAAGTAAAATTGTCACAGACTTCTTTTATTTCTATATATCTATTTTTATTTTTACTGTACCTATATTTTTTATTATAAATTATGCAATATTTAGAGCTAAACATTCCCATACACACATTAGTAATTAGACTTTTTAACATTTAATTTTGTTTTTTATTTCAGAATGGTCCACAATTATAAACGAATACCTACGGCCTATGACAGATGAGAGCAGAATTCAGGAGGAAAAAATTGAGGCTTTCCAGTGATGAAGAGTGGTTGCCCACAAGCAAAATAGTTTCCAATGGGAAAAATGTTTTTTTTACACATTTTTCAACTCATGAATTTTAAAATTTTCATAATGTGTAAAATTGCCCCACATGCCATGTTTTTGCAATAAAAGTGAAATATTTAAAAATTGTATTTTATTTTGAGAATTATCTATATTTGTTTGCCATCAAATAAGTAATGCATGTCTAGTTATACCCTCAATATTATATAGAGTCCTTTCATATGACGTCACGTCCGTTCGTGATACCTACGCCCGCCGCCACAGTGTCTACTTAAACTCTAAACGCAAACAGTATTACTAACAGAATATTTATTTAGAAATTTCGGCCACATATTTATATTATCCACGAAACTGTCAAACAGTATAAGGATCTTCAATTCCTAAGAATTCAAGTTTTTTAACGTATTTTTCCTTTTCCGCGGGTGCCGTTCTTTTCATACAGTGAACGCGTCCAGCGCTGGTGAACGCGTCCAGCGCTGGTGAACACGTCCAGCGCTGGTGAACAGCTGATTGTATTTACGTCCGATGTACACCACTGTGGCGGCGGACGCAGGTATCACGTGATTTAGGTCACGTGTTTGCAAGGACTCTATTGTGGTAGTGGTCTCGGTCGCAAACCGTCTAACTCCGAAAATGTAAATTTTAAAGGAGAGACAAAAAAAAAAACTGATTATTACATTGTTGATCGCTCTAATACTTTTAAAATAGGACATGTGCGAAGAATTTCTCTACCGAGTTTTGTTGATATTTACAAAATTATAGCAGGTTTTAAAAGATAGCCGGTTTGCTCGGTCTAAAACTATAGCTGCCGTCAATCTGTGCGCGCGCAGATTTGGCCGCGTTCGTTCGTTTTTACCAATGAACATGATTTAGTTATGTTTATGTTTTTAAGTTATAATTAACACTTCATAATATTTAGATTATAGTTTTGGGCTCATGTTTTTTTTATTTTAGTGTATTCTACTTTATGGGGTCAGTTTAATTTTATTAGAGATGTTTTTAAGTATGGCTTAATCGCTTTCGACTGTTTATTCATTATGGCTTTATTTAGCAATACTTCTTAACTATTGAAGGTTTTGCTTTATTTATTAAATCTTTTTATTCTAACAGTTTATTTTACTAAATCTGATTGGTGCTGGGTTTTTCGAACGATAATATAAATTTTATTGTCAGATCTATTCTGACTTAATGTTTACTTATTTTACAAAATGTAACTAAAATGTGTCTTTCTCATATATACGAAATGTAGAGAAAGTCTTGCAATCGTGCAAAAATAAATCGAGATTTTTGCAAATTTCTAAGTTTTAGGGCTCCCTGAGTCGGAAAAACATAGTTTTGCAATCGTGTGTATATGTGTATTTGTGTATGTGTAAACACGATAACTGGAGTACCGTTATAGCTAGGTTGATGAAATTTGATAACTATGAATTATATTAAAATCGTAGATCGGTATAAATTTTTGAGCGATTTCCGTTAACCGGAAGTGGAACTTTTTCTACTTGGAATTTTTCAAACTTGAGTACTATTTCAGATAAAGTAATGAAATTTCACATGTAAGTAAAGGTGCCTTGTCAAAACGGCCCGGGCCATCAAAGCGGCCCCGTTAATATGATGTCGTCAAATCAACCCTCGACAAAACGACCCAGTCAAAATAGCCCCGTCAAAAGGGCCCCGACTTATTGGCTCCCGACAAATAGGCTCAGGATATAGTGGCTCCCGACAAAGTGGCTCTTGACATATTGGCTCCCGATCATTTTGTCCTACCTTCACTACTACTATAACTAGCGGTTGTCATATTCAACGAGACCGCTT